GTCACAGAATGCACATTCAGTAATTCCATTAGCTACTGCATGAAGGAATGAATGAGGAGAAAGAAATAAAAAAGAATGCCTGGTGGGTACTACCCACAGCTGAAAGTAACCAGGCCTCAGTGTTGGGAAGACTTAAAGCCTTGCCAGGAACACCAGAAGCTGGCAAAATAGGCCAAACTCCCTCCTCCACTCTTTCCTCTACCCGTGTTAGTGTCTCCTCTGAGTGCCCTGGGCACCACACAGCTACCTGCTGGGCACACACTTCACTCATTTCTTTCCCAACTTGCCAGCATGAATGTTTGGGTAAAGTGATAACCTCTGCAAATTTTAGGTTGCCAGAACTGTCTCTCAAAACTTTAAGTCTCGCCGTGGTGGCGCACGCCTTTAATCCCAGCACTCGGGAGGCAGAGCCAGGCGGATCTCTGTGAGTTCGAGCCCAGCCTGGGCTACCAAGTGAGTTCCAGGAAAGGCGCAAAGCTACACAGAGAAACCCTGTCTCGAAAAACCAAAAAAAAACAAAAAAACAAAAAAAAAAACAAAAACTTTAAGTCTCACAGAACAATTACTAGTTATTCAGGTTACAGTTTTAACTCTTTTCTGCTAGGATAACTTTGTTACTTTTTTCTTTCTTTCTTGTCTTTTTTTCCCTCATTTTTACCTTTGCTTCTCTGCCCCCAACCTCCACTCTTTCAGTTTCAGTCTAAGGACCAGACTAAAGAAAATACTTAGTTTCGTTGTTTTCATATTTTTCTCTTTAATAAATGATTTTTCTAAGCAAGTATGCATCAGTATCTAAAGGAGTTGGAAATGTATTAATAGACTGTAAAAAGAGAAAGGAAACGCCAACGTGGGTCCAGCCATGAGATGGCAAGGCCACATCATGGCTGCCGAATCACCCTTAGATTGTGGAGAGCCTATTTGTGTATCTTGCATCTTTTACAGACAGAAACAATAGCAGGGTACCTCGGCTTGGGGTTCTTGGCGCCGCCTGGTGGAGAGAGGCGCCTTTGCACCGCATTCCTGTTCATTGGCCCTGCCAAATGTATACCAGGAGAGAAGAAACAGTACTTTTAATCATAATTTTGTGGTGAATTTCATCAAAATTAAAACCCATTTAAAAAATCTGATGCTCCAGTTTAAAATAATCTCAAAGTTAAACAGTAAAAATGGATGGTGGGAGATGTATACTGCACACAAAATTGTTTTGTGTTTGGATCATTCTTTGAGGTGGGGGGAAAAGAAATTCACTGTTGATTGGCATTGGTGTGTCCTGCATAACTTGGAATGAAATAGATTCTCTGTTACACACTGCTAGCAAGTAAGCTGCTTTCTGATCAACAAATTTAAAAATCCCCCCAAATTAAATATATGTTAGTTTAGGATATATGTTTCTTGTATGTTAAATCCAATGGTGGGAATGTGAGGTTAAAATTCAGCTAATGTATACATACTCTCTTGGAAATGAACTGAAGTGCATCCTGATCTGTTTCTGAATTTTGATTTTTTTCTTTTTCTTTCTTTATTTTGAAGCAGGTCTCTCTACAGAGCCCTGGCTGTCCTGAAACTCACTATGTAGACCAGGCTGGCCTGGAACTCAGAGATATGTCTGCTTCTGTCTCCAGAGTGCTGGGATTAAAGGTGTGCACCACCACACCACCACACCTGCTGAATCTTTTTAAGATGAAAAGTGAGCTGTTTTTTGTTCTGCCAGAAAGTGCATCATTGGGTTACATCACATATACTCTCTCAAGAAAAAAACAGCTTAAGAGAACGATGTCTGGAAGGACTGAGGAACGTTAAAAGCCCTGGCTCTGGGGGATTTGTTCATTGAGTTTGTGACCTGGCTTTGGTTTTTGAGGTTATTTCTAACATTTCCTGGGACCTGAATCAGGGGCATATATTCTCTTCACTACGATTTCTTCCGAAGAGTAAGCTCTAAACTATACAGCTCAAGAAAATCTGATATTGACATTTTCTTAAAGAATATGATCTGAAACATTCACAAGGTGGGGCCTATTGAATTTGCTTTGGAGGTTCATGAAACACCACTCCCCCATCCACAACACACACACATCCAGGTCTTCTTCTCTTCCTCTCTCCTCTCTTCAGATTCCATTTTTTTGTAGGGTCATATCCCCACCGTCTCCCCTGCCAACGCTGCGAATTATTCCAAGAAAAACACCCTGCCGACCTGCCCCACACAAGCTGAACCGTGAGCCTTTGAGCTCTTGAGTCATTGTAGGCGTTGGAACAAAACAAAAACAGGCTTAAATGAATTATTTATCAAGGTCGAGAATAATTGATTTGTGCAGGGCCGTCAGTGCTGGGTTTTAAGTGTTTCCCCCTTCCTCACTTCCTGCGAGCTGACTGTGGACGGGGCCTCCAGTGGGGATGTTGTTGAGTGATGTCAGAATGGGAATCCTAATCGATAACTGACCAGGGAAGGAAGAGTAGCGTTCCTCGGCACTCTCCTGCAGCCCAGGCGCCCTTCCGGCCCTTTCCGCTGGGGTCAACTGTGCCAGAGGCTCAGGGTGCCAAGACTGTCCATCCCGGCCTTGGAGCTTGAAATGGGTTGCTTCAGTGAGATCAGTCCCCAGCCGTGGTGGTCGCAACCTTTGACGGGAAGGCCAAGACCTATCCTGAAATCTCCTGGGAGGGACTGCGGGGCCAACACGCAGTTCTCCCGACAAAGGCCTCCGTTTAGGCCCTCTGAGTCTTTCACCTAGACTAGTCGATAGCCACCCACCGGACCTAGCCACAAGTCTTTAGAGAGGTACGGGGATCCCTCAGGCCACCAGCGTCTGGCGGCGGCACGTCTTGGCTTCGACTCAACAACCCCTGTTTCTCTGGTAAAAGCCTGCTTGCCTTCTGAGGAAGGAGAGAACTACCTAGATGGTGAACCTTGGGTAGCCTCCGTCCCTTCTCAGAGACAGCGCAACGAAAAAGGACACTGGGATGGTACAAAACAGCTCAACACACTCTCGAAATAACGCGGGATCCCCCAAACTCCGGATCAAAGATCGAGATGTCCCCAGGATGAATCACCACCCACCTCCTCCTTCCAGTCCTGGGACTCACGCTTCCAAGTCGGAGGAAGCAAGATCTTAGGAGGTCAATAACCTTCGGATACCTCCCGGGTCCTCAATAGGTCAATAGGGAAAGAGAGAGGGAGAGAGGGAGGGAGGGAGGGAGAGAGGGAGGGAGGGAGGAGGGAGGGAGAGAGAGAGAGAGAGAGAGAGAGAGAGAGAGAGAGAGAGAGAGAGAGAGAGAGAGAGAGAGAGAGAGAGAGAGAGAGAGAGAGAGAGAGAGAACAGAGCTGCAACTAAACCCTGTCCTCTACTGGATCATTTTACACCGAGTCACGGAAACGATGCCAACCATGCAGATTCATAAGGTTCTTAAAAATGGTAATTTGGAGTAAAATGTAACTCAAAGAACTTTGAATCATTCATTAGCACCTTATAATTACTCTGCTAATTAGGTTGACACGGCACTTAATCAGGAGTAATACGCCGTCTTGTCACTGGCGCTTCCCATTACTCTGACATTCAACAAGAGACAGGTTGGAGACGTCCTGAAGAAAAGCACGCAAGTTGATACCCTCCGACGAGACGGCGTCACAGTCGCGCTCTGGGTCCCAAACGGATCTGCAGTGACTGTTTCCTTTCCAAACACGCGGCCTGCCACAGTGGGGATGGAAGAACTGGAGGGAGGCGAGGGCGCGCGGGGGGGGGAGGGAAGCACAGGGTACTAGGCACCCCGGTTCCCGCAGCTCCACCGCAGCCTGACAGCGCAGGAAACCCTGGCGGCATTCGCCACGAGAGAACGCCTCGGGCAGGGTTTTCCCGGCTCGGGAGAAAGTGTTTGGCCAGGCGTTTCTTCCAGCACAGCTCTGATTGCAGACAAAGCGGGATTTCGGCGGCACGCCGGATCCTCCCCGACAGGGGGTCAAGGAGGGAGACCAAGTTCTGCTGGTCTCCAGGACCTGCTACCGGCCTGGGCCGAGCTGGAGCGCACGGGCTCCTGGAGGGACCTCGGAGCTCAGAGGCTGCGGGTCCACGCGGAGCTCGGCTCTGAATGTCACACACTTCCCCGTGGGGTCCCCAAGCACCCCTTCCCCGGTTCCTTGTGTTTCCGGACTACTCAAGCGTGCTTGGGAACCGTGCGAGCGTGGCCGCGCAGCGGGCCACGGGGAACCGCGACCTCCTCTCGCCCCTCGCGGCCTCTCCACTCTCCCTCCACGCCGCCCGAACGCGGGCACAACTAACGAATCGTCACCACGTCCCCGCTTCCCGCCCTCGGGCTCCCTTTTCCCAGCGCCCCTCTGTCCTCCGCCCCCCCCCCCCAACCCCCACGTCCCTGTGCCGGTCACTCGTTACTGTGGGTACCACTTGGGCCCCCAGGAGGAGGCGTCGGGCTCGGGGCTGCGGGCACACGGAGGTCCGGGTTCTCAAAAGAGCAGCGGGGTTCGGGGCGCGCTGCTGACGGGCCGGCCCAGGCGCGCGCCCATTGGCTCCTGGCACGTCGGCGTCGCTCGCCGCTGCCGGAGCGGCCAATGGGGGCGCGGGGCCCGGGCGGCGCGGGGCGCGGGCGGGGAGCGGCGGCGGGGGCCGTGACGTCACGGGAGGGGGTCGGCGCCGCCCGCGAGCCGGCGGATGACAAGCCAACGCGCGGGGCAGCGGCGGGAGTTGCCGGGCGCCGCCTGTCCGCGGTCTCCTGCGCCCGCGCCTGCTCCTTCGCGCTCCTTCTCCTCCTCCCCGGGCGCCCGCGGCCGCGGCCGCTCCGCAACTTTCCAAGAAAGTTGAGAAACTCGGCTCCGGAGCGGCCGGGTTGCGCGCTGTGGTCGCCTCGGGGGCGGAGGCCGCCAGGGCTTAGCGGTCGCCGCACCTGCCGTGGCCGCCGCCGCCGCCCGGGACCGGGCAGTGGGCAGACCCAGGCGGCGGCGGTGGCAGCGGCGGCGGTGGCGGCGGCGGGGTCGCTCCGGCCGCCAGCACCTTCGCCCGGGTACCGCTCGCCGCCGCCGCCCACGTGCGCGCTGCTCCAGCGGAGCGCGTCTTCCGTGCCGGCGGCATTTTCTGGTTTTCTGACTCTCATCTTTCTTTCTTTTGACTTTTTGCATATGGGAAAAAGTTGAGCCGAAAGTGTCCACCAATTGCCACGTCCCCATTATCCTCCTTTCCCGCCCCACTGTTTTTGTTTTTTTAAAGCAGTGTCAACGGTTTTTTTTTTTTAAAGTGTCTATTTTGTTTTACGATCGATAGTTTCCCGGCGGTTGCTGATCCGCGGAGTGGCGTGGACCTCATGTAGAAATAACAGCAATGGAAGGGGCCAGCGGGTCGAGTTTTGGAATAGACACGATTTTGTCCGGTGCCGGTTCCAGCAGCCCCGGCATGATGAACGGAGATTTCCGCCCTCTTGGCGAAGCTAGGACCACGGATTTTAGGAGCCAGGCCACCCCGTCACCCTGTTCGGAGATTGATACCGTGGGAACGGCGCCCTCTTCTCCGATCTCGGTCACCTTGGAGCCCCCGGAGCCGCACCTCGTGACAGACGGGCCCCAGCTTCACCATCACCTCCACCACGGCCAGCAGCCGCCGCCGCCGCCGCCGCCGCCAGCCGCAGCTCCCGCGCAAAGTTTGCAGGCTTCGCCCCAACAGCAGCCGCCGCCGCCGCCGCAGCCACAGTCCGCGGCCCAGCAGCTAGGCTCGGCCGCCTCGGCCCCCAGGACTTCCACCTCTTCTTTTTTAATTAAGGACATCTTGGGGGACAGCAAACCTCTGGCGGCTTGTGCGCCCTACAGCACCAGCGTGTCTCCTCATCACACGCCGAAGCAGGAGAGCAACGCCGCGCACGAGAGCTTCAGGCCAAAGCTGGAGCAGGAGGACCCCAAAACCAAGCTGGACAAGAGGGAAGACTCCCAGAGCGACATCAAATGCCACGGTGAGTCGGGCCGGGCCTGCCGGGCGTTGGAGGCGATTGAGTGACGATTCCTTCCTTGAGGAAGGTCTGGAAGCTAGAGAGGGGCCTAGGCGCGCCGTTCAGCAAACGCACCCCAAGCTCAGTTGGTTACATTGCTACCCTACGACCTTCACCGACTTCCAGCTCCGTTCTTTGTTTTACTTAATGGTAAATGTGCTGGGAGGAGGGTGGCCGCGGGGAGAGACAGGACGGAAGATACTTTTCGTTGAAAACAGAGACGGACTTGAGATTGTTTGCGTGTGTGTGTGTGTGTGTGTGTGTGTGTGTGTGTGTGAGCTGAGACCTTGGGAATGGGAGGGGCGGAGAGAAACTGGTAGCGAGCTGTGGTTGCAGTCACAACTTGATCTTTAGTATTGAATGCAAATGCCCCTCCAATATTTTCCAAATAATCGCAGCAGGT